GAGGGAAAGGAGAGAGAGAGAGAGAGAGAGAGAGAGAGAGAGAGAGAGAGAGAGAGAGAGAGAGAGAGAGAGATGACTGTGAGGACAGGATCAGAAAGATGTGACTTGAGAGGACTCTACCTGCTGCTGCTGCAGGAAGGGGATCCAAGCTAAGGAGTACAGGGGTGTAGGTGGTCTAGCAAAAGCTGCACAGAGGATTCTGTTGTTGGTTAGTAGCAAAAGAGAAGCATGGAAACATCTATGATCATGCAGAGTTGGCACATACTTCCTTGTGTTATCCTGAAAGCAACAAATGAAAGAAAAGAGGGATGAACTCTAAACTACTGCTTGGTGGATGGAGGTCAATTTATGGATGATTCATCTGATGCTTGAGTAAAGAGCCAGAAAGATGTAATGAAGGAAAATATGAAATTTTAAGAAAAAGTTGGCTCACTTTCTTAATCTAGGGAAATAAGATCAATCTGACCTAAATTAACTTTGGCGCTAACATTTTACTATGATTTGAGCTACTCACTGAAATTAACTGGTAAATGGCACAGTGATTAACTATTTTTGGAAAGTTACAGTGTGATCATGACTCAGGACAAAGTGAACCAGAAAACGGATGTTATGGACAGACAGGCCAGGGTCTGAGAGTCAGTAATACTGAAACAGGACAGAGAAAAACTCCAGGGGGAACTTATAAGCTTGCAAGTGTGGCCTTTCTCTCTCCCAGATAGCCTCATTTTGGGAAACATTTGAGCTTGTGGGGAATATGGCTATTTCCTATTACTCTTTCTGGTATATTTTTACTAACAGGACTGAATATGAGTGACATTTAACATAGGTCATTGAAGGATACCAGGAAAATCCCCTTTTGATTTTTAACTAACTGCCTGGACATAGTTAAACCACATTTGTGTGTTTGATTTCCCCCTTTGGGTGCAAATAGTCACTTGTTCTGCCCTTACTAGAAACAGATAGTGGGCAAAGTCTAAATTTTCAATGCACTGTGGCATTAAGAGAAAAAATTACCTCTGCATTAATAAGCAACTGAGAGCCTCCATGTGGTTGGAGAATTTATAAGTTACAAGGAACTTTGAGCAAGGCTTCGTCATTTTACTGGTCATTCCAATTGAGATGAACAAATATGCATCATGGCCAGGCACTGTGGAGCTTTTGGACAGAGATTAAATAACATCCAGTCCTTGATCTGATGGAGTCTAAATATAGCGTGGTAGGCAGAAGTGATGCATGTTACAGTGAGATGAGAGTTGTGTTAGGTGTCTCAGTTTTTAGTTCCAGGCAATAGCAACAGACTTTGGCTAATACAAATCAGAGAACAATCCACCAGACTCCAGTTCCACAATTGCTGGGAAGGCTGGAGAATCAAGCTTGTGAAGACAGAGCAGCTGCCAAAATGCAGTCATGCTAGGGGATAAATTAGTTGTTGTTATTTATTTATTTATTTATTTGTTTGTTTGTTTTGTTTTATTGCTTAAAGTATTACAAAGCGTATTACATATGTCTCCTCCCCCACCCCCCACCCCCCGCTTCACATTCCCCCGGCCTCCCCTACCCCCCAGTGTCTTGTGTCCATTGGTTATGCTTATATGCATGCATACAAATCCTTCAGTTGATCACTGTCAAACTACAGTGGGAAGCGGGAAGCCTGGGGAGGGTTGGGGGAGGTAAGAGATCAACTAAATTAGTTGTTTTTGCTAAGCCCCAGAAACCACGGTTTGTATGACCATCACCGAAAGTCTCAGACTGTGCTCTCCATGGCTGCGACAGCCACTTCCAAGCAGGACATTGTTTGAACAGCTGCCTCTGTTCACCAAGGTAGTGGATTCTGTTGACCCTGCTCCTTTGTGCCATTCCCGTTCCCAGATAGCTGTGTCCGATTAGCCCTTCTAAGTGCTTTGCTTCTCCCTTATCTCCCAGGCTGGCCTGACAGTCAGGCACTGGCATTTCAGCTCCCATGCTAATTGTTACCATTAGCATGTGGATGGGTGAGCAGATTTTAAACATCAGTCTTCTTTGGCTTAAGTGATCTTTGGGGTAACTCCTTTTTAGTTCTCAGTCTTTCATGTTCTCTTCCTCCTTAGCGGGTTTCTTGCCAAGATGGTACTTGAGTATATGGTAGGAGATCAGACATAACATTATGTGCAGAAAGTAGGAGGTCTGAAGTCCATGTGATGGCCTCTGGGTCCTGGCTGGTTGCCTGCTGTGGAGGAGTCTGATTTGATTCTGGTGCTTGACCACCAGGCCTTTTAGGAACATGGCACAAGCGTGCCATCCACTGATGGATGATTCTTACAATATTTCTGGAGTCACGAAGGCATAGTGTAACCTCTTTTTCTTAACCCCTGGCATTTGCAGGTTCGCTGGACCTCTTGGCACCTTCACATTCCCACACTGACGGATGGGATTAGCCCTTGATAAGCTCTCCCAACTGGGCAGAGAATACAGTGGTGTAGTCTGCGTGGCTGAACGCTGAGGCCTGCTCCCGATATAGTATTTCATTCTCAGAACCTACAGTGTGTTTCTACTGAAGCCCCCTTAGAGCTCACACAACCTCTGGCTTTCTTCTTCCCACGCACTGGAGAAGGGGCTAGCTTTCCACACCCTTTTCTATCTGTCAAGAAATAGCAGATGGCCATATTATTTAGGTACAATAAATCTCATGGCTGCAAATGATCATGATTTTAGGGCAGAAATGAACAAAGTATATCAACCCAGGATGACAGCTGTATAAATCAGTACCAGAAACATGTACGAGGCAAGGAAAGGGTAAAGGATTTAAAAAAGAGAGATTTTCTTAAGGAAGCAACCCTAAACTATGGGTGGAGGATGGATCCCGGACCCAGTTTCAGATATCTTACATTACACTCACACAGGCAGGCTATGGGGCTAGCATTCCTTATGATATAACAGAGAAGAATTGGGAGGACTGTCCAGACAACAGTCATCTACTCCTGCCTGTCTTTGAGGCTGATGGCTCATAGAAAAATCAGTGTGTGTCAGCAGTATCTAAAAGGTTCACTTCTTCCCAAGTGGCTGACAGCTAGAAGACACAGCTGAGTGTGTGGGGACCAGGAGAATCCCGTAGAAGCAGAGGTGTGAGGAACTAACTGCTGAGAGAATTCCATTCCCTGGGTGGGAGAGATCGGTGATTAAGAACTATTGAAAGAAGTACAAAGGTCAGAGTTTCCACATCTGAGCTAGGAGATTAGATTAAAGGGGAAGGAAACCAGAAATGCTGGAGCTGATGATCGGAAACTCATAGATGGAGGCAAGGCTAGCTCTCCAACATGCAGTCATGGTACTGGGGGCAGGTCACTGGGAAGCTGTTAGAAAGCCAAGTACACGGCACAAGGCAGAGCTGGGGAAGCAATGAGTACTGCCATGGAGCCTTCATTTCGGGGACTGTCAGATTTAAACCCTTACCTTTATGCAAATATGGTTGCAGAGGCCACACCAGACTACCCCACAGAGGAATTTGAAAATAGTATATATAGAGCTTTTAAAGCGAAAATGTTTTCTGAGAGAGATAAAGATGGCAGTAGGTACTAAAATCCAGTTTAGAGTTAATATCTCAGTTATTTCATTCATTGATTATCAGAAACAGCTACATGTCAATTACTGAGTTAGTAAGGTGGGAATAAAGTAAGGGCTTACCTTCAAATAGGGCAGTAGCATTGCCTGTGTGTATACACATACACACAACAATGAAACAAAGTATAACATCTGTTAGGAGAGGACTAGATAAAATATTATGGAATTTATTAAGAGGGAGAGAATAATTCAGATTAGGGCAGACTGGGGAGGGCTTCTTAGAGAAGAGTGCTTTTTTCATTAGGCTTTGAAGGAAAGAAAAGATCTGAACATTTAAAGGTGGGCAAAAATAGTCCAGGGAGAAGAAACAGCACAGAGAACAAAATCTGCAGGTTTGTGGAAATAGAAAACCATTTGTTTTTAAAGGAATATCAGTGACATACGGGAGCATTGGGGTCTGGTCAGGAGATTGAAGGACCTGTGACAAAGGGAAAAAGAATGGTTCAGTTTGGCTTGCAGGATGACCCAAGGGGAAATGTTAGCAGGGCTCTGGGTGGATCACGTAGGTTGGGCAGCAGGGAGCCCCAGTAGAGAGGTGGCATGTAGAGAGGAAGGAGAGAAAGTGCACAAAAGGGGAAGAAATTTATCCGGTGTCATTATTCTGTGTGTTGTTTTAGCTGAAGCCTTCCATTACATTTTTGGGCCCAACTAAGCCAATACCTTGTCTGTATCCGTTTTTCTGGGCTGTGTCCAACAGAAAGTAAAGGCTAGAGACAGATCCTGTATGAAAACCCTTTTCTTAGTTTTGGTTTGTTTCTTTTTAATACTCTATGTTCCTGATGTTGCAAAGAAGGGAAAAAATTGTTGCAACTTTCATTTTACTCAAGTTTTAACATTTGTTTTTTCTTTTTCCCCTCCAAATTTCTTGTTCCTGAACTTTGAGCAATCAGAAATAATGCTGGGTCATACAGAAGGAAAACATCATATGAGGAAATGGAAAGGGAAATGGAAGGGAATATCAACAAAGGTTCTATTTTGCTCACATTTTTTAAAGCACATTTAAAAAAATCTTGGGTATTTTGGAAGATGAAGGTCTTCATTATGCCTGTAGCTTCTCTGAGTGACAGCCATAGTGCTGATGCAGAGGCTTTTAGTCCTCCCTGGGAAGTCTTCATTCACCTGCCCACCGGCTGGGAGGCATCCTCAGCTCTGAATCACTGACAGAGAATCTGGTGGGGCCGGTTACACGGCTGCATGAGGTTTTGTTGGCATGAAGACTTTTTAGTCCTTGCCAACACTGAGGGTGCCTGCGTACTTCTTGGCAAACATCAAACTACTTCTGCTTCCTTTTAAGAAATAGGTCCATATTTATAAATTGTTCTTAGACATACCCACCTGATTACTTATTGCTTTGCTTTCCCATCTACATACTTAGTGCTTTGCTTTTCCATCTACTTATTCTTTCTTCCTAAAGTGAAACTGTAGCCATCCACCTGCCCTCTCATCCTGGTTTCAGGTGAGGAATTATGAATTGTGGGTGTTGTAGTCTTCTGCCTTTTAGGATTTCTGGTTGGGCAGCCTGGAGCTACACTGGGAGGACTTCGAGTCCCAGGTGGCTCTGTAAGCTGCAGTTCAGGTGCCACACGCAGAGCAAGACATGTTTGAAGAGAGCCCTTGGTTTACGCAGAGTGACTTTCATTCACTAACATGATGTTCCTGAACTGAAGAGGCTTGGGTTCATTTCCACAACTGTAAGTGTTGTTTTCAAAAATTAATATTCTTTTCCCTATTGATATATAATACACATAGGAAATTGTGTCATTTCCAGAACAACTGAAGAAACTAAATGCTTCTTCCTTTCCAAGCAGAGCTTTATATTTTGTGAATTTGTGGGACATGATTTAGAATAAACTTTGACACATGGAATAGGATACCTTGAGACATGATATAAAATAAAATAATTTATAAAAAGAGGAGGGAGATATGCAACATCCAAAATCAAATGTAAAAAAACCCACTTTGCTTTGCTTCAAATATGTAGATGGTTGAAAACCTCTGAAAATTGTAACTATTTCAAAAAACAGCCAGTTGTGTTGAAGAGAATGTGGGCATTGAAGTCAGGTGAAGTTGGATTCAGTTGCCCCTCTGATTTAAATATGTGACCTTTGACAAGATGTTTCACCTTGTTGAAACTCAATTTCCTCATTTGTAAAGTTGGCATAAAACCTACTTCACTGGGTTACTAGAGTGAAATTAGCATAGTGCATTGTACTAAATAGATAATTAGACAATAACTGATAGAGGATGAACTCTCTTCTTCCTAATTAAGTTTCAGTTGAACTTCAGAAACAGATTAAAGAGACAAAAATATCGTATGAGTTAACTATGTGAAATATCTAGACTAGCAAATTCATAAAAACACAAAGTAGAATGGTGGTTGCCAGTGAGTTAGGGGGAGGGAGAAAATAGGAAATGTTTAATGGTGTAGAGTTTCAGTTTCGCAATTTGAAGACATTCTGGAGATTGGTCACACAGCATCACAAATATACCTAACACTATTGAACTGTACACTTATAAATGGTTAAGATGGTAAATTTTGTATTATATATATTTTCACTACAATTTTTAATAAGAAGACAGAGAATTAAGGTGTCACTGACTCCTTAAATAATGTTCAAGTCTATTTTCAGTGGATCTAACTTCAGGATTGATACTGGATCACCTATGTTTATGCCTAGTTTTTACATAACAATAATTAATAGTGATTATGATGTATTTCTGGTATATTCTTAAAGTTGTCTTGACCTTTGTGGTGATCCTTTTTATACCGTCCTTAATTTAATTATGTGATTACCTCTAATTCATAACAGTTATTTTTAATATGATTTCATGGATACTGACAGATATAGCAATTATGAAGTCATAATTATTAGTTACAACTTACTTGAAAACTTTACATACAACCAAAAGTATTACTTATTGCAGCTTTCTCACATTGCCTGTAGCTTATTTATAAACAGATTATTTTTGTGTCTGTGCCCCCAGGATAACAAAGACTATTAAGACAGTGAAACACCATCTTATTTTAAACTGTACTAGCTAATTTGGAGTACAAAAGACAATTTAAGGTTTTATTTATTTTAAACATTAAAGCATGTCATTATTGACTTTTTGGAAAACCTTTTCTTGAAAAACCACTCAAATGCCTAACTGTCCATTAAAACTAATTAACCTCTATGGTATTTGGTGACAACAACCAGTATCTGTGATGAGTGTGCAACATTTTGCATGTGATATATTTAAATGAAAATTCTCTGATGAGCTATATAAGCAAGTCCAGGGTAGTATTAGAATGAAAACGAAGGAGAAAGAAAGTTTCAAAAGCACTTGATAAATATAGTTTATTGTTTGAGAGGGCAGTATTGGTTTTGCTGTTGAATACCTTTATGGTCTACTCTCTCTAGGAAATGTCATTTATTAATTTAACAATTACTTTGAACAATCCTAAAATGTTCTTCCACTGGACTTGAGGTTAAAGAGTGACTGAGCCATGGCCCTCATGGGAATCCTGGTATAATAGAGGAGATATGTACTCATAAAAACTTAAAGAGAGGAAGTGCTAATCCATGCCATTTCTGGTATCACTGTTGGTTAATTCCCACTCCTTAGAAGATATGATGCTCAGTATAATGGGATTAAAAAGAAGCCTCCATAAATATTTGCTTGAATTGTAATCATTGGAGACCAGAAAAAAATAAGTTGGAAAACTTATATATGAGTCTCTCAAAAGAAGAGTGGAGTGACTTCCCAAAACACCCAGGAATGTACACCCAGCATGCCAGTGCATAATTCAGTAATGGGAAATGTCAAGTAAATACTATATTTGTACTGGGGGGATTTAATTTCTGTAGCAAGGTTGGAAAATGATCCCTATATGTGATCAAACTTTATTGAGCCTTGGAGACAAGAGAAAGGAAGCTAGAGAGGCAAAAAATGAAGGGAGTAGCTTTCTAGAAAATATGGGAAATTGAAAAGTACATGATATATTTGGTAAAGTTAATTTATCCAATCATTAACTCAACAAATAATTTATGAACATCTGTGTGTGAGCTAAAGTGTGGGATATAATATGAACAAGAAAGACAACATCTCTCCCCATAGATGGATGTACTTGAACATGTAGAAGTTAGGAAATGGGGCCAAAAATATGAATGAAAAAAAAAGCTTGTCTGTAATTATGAAGGATTTTGAAATATCAGCTTAAGGAGTGTGCACTTATTCTGAAGTCACTGAGGAATCAGTGTGAGTCACTGTGAGGTGAGTGGAAATATTCATTTACTTATTCAGTAAACATTTATTCTACCTGTGCTTTGCTTAGTGCAGGGGATATAGGGATGGAGGAGCTCCTATTACAGAGGAAGTGAAAGAAACATATTAAAAAGTTGATAATGCCGTGTGATAAACAATACAGTGGTTGCACAAGACACAGATGCCTAACCCAGGCTGGAGAACTGTGGTGAGAAGAGGGATGACCATGGTGAGAGATATTCCAAGATGTTTTTTGGGTTAGAGAAAATGTCTTGAAGAAATTTGACAACTGAGTTTAGTCTTTTATAAAATAGCAACTATGTGCTCTTTTATTTTGAGTTTAAAATGTGGCATGTTCACTCTAGAAAACTTGAGAACCACAGTCAGAATTATGGAGGATATACATCTTTGATATACAAGGAGAGACCAGAGAAATAGTGTATATATCCTGATAGTCTTTTTATGGCTATAATAGATATTAATGATGAATAATTTACAAAAAATGTTATGGGATAATTTTAATTCACTTGACAGTATACTATACATTTCCATATCATTATATAGTCTTCTGTAACATAATTTTAAGTTGCTCATTATATATGATATTATAATTTAACCAATACTCTACTGTTCATCTTTTTCTGTAGCCAGTGTTTGCTATTGTGAATAGTGCCACATTGAACATTGTTATACAAACATCTTAGACATGTTTGATTGCTTTTAGAGGTAAATTTCTAGAATATGAATTATATGTCATATTACCCACTAAAACTCCTGACCATATCATACAAGAGATATAAAGCTCTTATGGGATGTTTATAAGAGACTGAACTGATGAAACCTACATTTTAGAAATATCACCCTTAAAATATTGTGAAGGGAGAATAGAAAAGATGGAGGCAGAAAACTAGGTAGGATTTATCATAGAAATCTAGGTGAGAAAAAAATAGAACCTGCAGAAATGAAGTCACATTATTGATGGAATGTTATAAAAGATGTTAGAGAAATTAATTTTGCAGAAATTGATAGATTGGAGACAGTGACTCAGGGGCAAGAAAGGGATAAAATTGACTGTGGATTACCTCCCAGTTTCTGACATAGGTAACTAACTGGGTGGATGGTAGTGTCCTTGTTCCCTTAGATAGGGAAGATAGGAGAAACAGGTTCAGTTGAGACTAGAAGTCTTTGACGTGCCTGTGACCATCCACATGGAGAAATTGTTTAAGCAGTTGGACAGGTCCAGGAGTCAGGAGTACATATAGGTTAGAAATAGATAGTTGTGGGAGTCAGTGATACCCAAGCATAGCTAGTCATGGGTGTGGATGGGCTCTCCCAGAGGTATTAAGGACTGCTTCAGGAGAAGAGAAGAGAGCTCATGATGGTGCCTCCTGACACAATAGTACTAAAGTTTAATCAGAGGAAGAAATAGCCATACTAGAGACTAACAAGGAGAGGCCAGAGAAATAGGAGGAAATCCAATGAAGTATAGAGTGAGGGAAGACAATAACTTTCCAAGATGGGAGAAATTAACAGTGTCACATGTCACAGAGAGGCCTAAGAATGAAAGGTGTCTTTTACATTTCACTGGCACTTTTGTCTGGAACAGCTTCACTGGAGTGTCAGGGACAGACACTTGAATGTCGTGATTAGAGCTGTGTTTCAATATGATGACTTCAGAGGCAGTGGGTAAATAGGCTTAGGGAAGGAAGAGATGAGAAAATGGGAAGCCAGTGCAACAGAGAGGTCACTGGGGCTCCAGAAATGATGTAATAAGGGCGAATGCAGGACACTGCCGTGGCAAAACGAGACTGACTGTGGTAGTAGGAATTATCAAGCACAAGGATATAATGTATGAGGGAGAGGATGAAGTTTAAGAGGGCTCCAAAATTTTCATCTGATATGCCTGATAAAACCATCAACAAAGGCAGATTTAAGGAAAAGAAATAGGCATTTTTGTTAGTAGAGAAAAGGAAGAGCAGATGAGTTCTACCCTGGAGATGCTGATTTGAGATGCATAGGATATGACAACATTCACATGGAGACATTGTGATGATGGCTTTATGGTTTTGTAGCTCAGGGCAGAGATCTAGGTTAGAGACCAAGATCACTGAGTTTTTCCCATAAATAAAGGGAGGGGGGTGTGGAATCATAGGAAAGGTTGCAATAGCTTGAAGGGGTCACTGAAAGTGAAAAGAACAAGAAAACCATAGGGAATGTTTAAATAAACAGGTAGCATCAGTGGAAATACTGAAGAAAACAGGGAAGAAATTATCAAAGCAATAGTAAGCAAACTACTAGGACAATGGAGCAGAGGAGGGGCAGTTTTAGGTTGCCTGGGTCATGACCAAATCAGCCACAGACAAGACAAGCAGGGAGATGACAAGGAAGACCTTTGGGATATGGGCTAATTTCAACTCTTGCTTTGTCCTGAAAAATACACTTT